ATCTTAAGAAACCCCGAAGACAAATTCCAGCTAGAAAACCAAGGAGTCTACAAAATACCATGCAAAATCTGCCCTGCAACATACATAGGACAAACTAATAGGAAAATAAATACACACATGGCAGAACATAAGAATGCAGTAAGAAAAAAAGAAAAAAAAGATAAAACTTCCTCCCTTTTCCAGCACTTTAAAGCTACAGGACATGAAATTAATTTTGAAGGAACCAAATTAATCTCCAAAACTGAACACTTCAACAAGAGAATAATTATGGAAGCTATCAAAATAGAGAAACACCCCCGCAACATGAATAAACGTGATGATACCTCCCACCTACCAGACATCTGGAAACCAGCCCTAGTCAACAAACGAGCCCCACCCACCACCCAGGCCATTACAACACAAAACAACAACGGACACATGGCGAGTGAGACCTCGCTGAAATGTTCCCAAGACAATCTCAATCTTACACGGGACATATGTGTGTGTGTGTGTGTGTGTGTGTGTGTGTGTGTGTGTGTGTACGTGTATATATATACATGTATGTATGTATGTATGTATGTATGTATGTATGTATGTATGTATGTATGTAGAGAGGGAGAGAAATATTTCCTACATGGCTGTTTAATGTAATAGAAATGCTAGGATTTAAGAGGAAAAGGGTAGCTGGGAAGGCTTTTCCCTCCTCTTTAATGAAAACAACCATTGAGAGGATCTTTCTATTAATTTCACTTTAAATACCGAAGTCATCTAGAGAAGGCTTTCTGAAAAGCATACTATACTGCTACTCAAATTATACAACAGAATTCATATCAACCTTGTGTTTGACTTTCATAAAAAAGTTGGCTAATGCTGCTTTACTTTGCAATACAGGTAGTCCTTAGCTTAAAATTATTAGTTTAGTGACTGTTCAAAGTTACAACAGTACAGAAAAGTGTACTTTGTACACTTACATAGTGCAAGTGATTTATGAACATTTTTCACATTTATGCACATTGCAGTATTCCATGGTCACATGGTTAAAATTCAGATGCTTGACAATTGGCATGTATTTATGAAGGTTGCAGTGTCCCGGGGTCATATGCTCACCTTTTATGACCTTCTGACAAGCAAAGTCAATGGAGAAGCCAGATTCATTTAACAACCATGTGACTAACTTAACAAATGCAGTGATTCATTTAACAACTCTGGTAAGAAAGGTCATAAAATGAGGCAAAACTCAATAACTGTCTTGTTTAGTAATAGAAATTTTGGGCTCAACTGTTTTCATAAATTGAGGACTACCTGAATATTATTTAACTTAACCAGTTCATTAAACATTAATTGGGATACAAATTTTAGTAGATTGATTATCTTTTTTTAAAAGGCTTTATTTCAGTGCTTTCTGAATTCCTAGTCATTTAAATAGATAGGCACTTTGCCACTTCATTTTATTCTCTAAATTAAACTGCTTATCTAACAAAGAGAGGGAAAAAATAAACTTCCTTGGGGGAACAATCTCTTTTACTAGGGGCTGTGGTAGTTTGTGGAGATGCATAACTTGTTTATATGAGGAGATGGCCATATTTTTATTGTTTTATATGTTAACTACTAAAAATCATTGGAGTTGGACAACCAAAAAGGTCAGTTTGCCAAGTAACATTTGGAAATGTATGCTGAAATACTTCCTTACTTTGATCCATATTTATGTGTTACATTGGCCATGTTGGAAACAAAGAATACTTTATCCCACATTTCAAGGAAAGAAATAAAGCATCAAAATAAACATAATTTTAAAATAGCAAGATTTGTACAAATACAACAAAAGAAACATAAATTAATGTCACTTTTTTCCTCAAATGCTTTTACTTACTAAATTATCTGTTTCTGGATCTTCACAAAAAAAGGGTTTTCCTTCCTTCTCCTGTTTCCTAACAAAGTTTTCAATATCTACATCAAAACTTGCAGATGTTGTGCCTTCTGAACCCTGTGTAGATTGTTCGCATTTTTCAAATAACAGTGCTAATAAGGGAAACAGTGGATGCCTAGGAATTAAAGATGAGCAAACTATAAGACTATAGAAATTCTAAGCCAATATGACAAAACATGTATAATTTAGATACTGCATACATAATAAAATAAATTACATTAACTATTATGATGCTGTCTATTCATGGCTGATCTAACCTGGAATGGGAAACTAATCTTTTATTTGCTGTTTAAATCTATTTGTGCACTGTTGGGAAGAAACTAGGGTATATTGCATTCTCAAGTCTAAAATTAATTTTTATTGTTACTGTTTTTTTTCATGTTTCGAGCACCAAGTGTTTGCTCATGATTGTGGTGATACAAATATAATGAATGCAAATATTTTAAAATCTATATTCAAATAGAAACTCTTAATCTGAAATAAAGATCACAAACCTTACTTAAATAAATAAAATGTGCACTGCTATCTTATGCCAGTTCAGTGAGTTGTCAGTCTGACTTTAATAGAGCTTACGCACTTGTAAACATGCAGAACATTGTAAGTAATAAGTAATAAAATGACTGAAAATATACATCCAACTTAATTATGAACTCAAAATACATAATGTTTGTTTGTGCGCCTGCTGTTAAATGTTTGAGTTTAGGTACCTTTTAAAGTACTGATTCTACATTGTGGTTGCACTGGGATTGGTATCTTTACTACACAATTTTATACTAGCATTGTATAGGGGTATACCTGACCTTGCCCAAGAAAATAAAATTGCAGTAGTTTTCAATTTTGGCTAAAATGGTGAAACATAGAGGAGTCTGGCTACTGAAAGAAAGAAGGCTTCAGAATCCTTTCCTCTATTGAGTTTTGTATGGTCTCTTTCAACCGTGATTGTCTACTACATCCCAGAAACTTCATCCTTAGTTTGAGAACAATCATTCTACAGATTAAAGACAATAATATACTTTACCACTTAAGACTGGTCAACAGTACTACCTGTAAATAGCTTGCTTGTCTGCATCCATCGGTGTCTGAGATTCAACTGGGGAAGGACTCAATCCTCCTGCATCTGTTTCTAAACAGTTTGGATCCTGCTCTGTTTTTAATTCTGTTACTACTTGCATTTGCTGGAAAAGAAAGATGCTTTATATTGCCAGCTCCACTGAAAATGGTTTGTCTTCCAAGTAAAGTTGGTATGACTTGGCAACTATACAAAATGTACAAACAGTTAACAAAAATAGATAGATGGATATAGGCATATGATCTTTCTTATATCTTTTCTCAGTAAGTAATTGTGGTTGATCATAAATTGAAGCAATGTAATATAACAGACTCTCTTAACAATCTTCCTCTGTCTTGCTGTTGATATACAAGAATTTCCTTTCTAAGCTGTTCCTAAAAATGTTGTATTCACTTCTCCATACAATCATCTGCAATCAAATTCAAGTGTTATTTTTTATGTTACTAAGACCTATGTACATGAATACACAGATCAAAAACATAAAAAGTTTAAATATCCTTCCAATTAAAAAACATTAATTATTAAGATAAACATTTCAGATTGGCACAAATCTATTACATTTGTTATGACACAGGATGTGAAAATTTTTGAAAACTGAAAACCTAATTCAGTCAGTTAATAAATCAACAGTTTCAATATGCGAGCTACATTTACTTGATCTAGAATTTTGCACATATAATTGTTTAATTTTTAAAAAATCCCTCTCACACACACCCTTTACCCTATAAACTCATTTATATATCTATAGCTCCAGTGAATTCATTGTTAAAATCTTCTCCATGTACAATTTTGCATAAAAACTCAACTATGTTTGTATTTCAACATTGGCATAAAGTTGGGAATTGGGCAGAAAGATCCAAAAAGCATTTCTTTCTACTTATCTAGGGATTCATAAACTGCAGGACCTCCTAAGATGAATGTGTTAGGAGGTTCAAGCTAATGGATGGCATACTACTACTACTACTACTACTACTACTACTACTACTACTACTACTACTACTACTACTACTANCTGAAACAAAGCCAGCACTCCACACACACCCTTATATAAAGACGGCAGCTCCCAACACGCTTTAAGCCGAAAACACCAGCTTGAAGATGGCGAGTGAGACCTTGCCGAAACATTGCCAAGACAATCTCAATCTTACATGGGAAAAGACCTGAATACAACAAGACCAGCATAGATATATATAAGACTCTTTGGGGTAGCTTTTCCTGTTATTAATATGTCTCTGTGTGTAGCAGCTCCAATTAAAAAAAGATGAATGTTTTGGCAATCACTCCTTGATGTTAGTTTAATAACTATTAAAAGAATGAAAAAGAATGAAAACAGTCCAGATCAAAACAATGGAAATAGCATAAAAACAGCAGCCAAGAATAGTCATTAACTCTCAAACTTTATAGACTTACCCATACTATCAATGCCCTGGGTTTGATAGCAAACGTAGGTTTTTAGTGCCTTGTGAAAGGACAGCAGGTTTGGAGCATGTCTGGTTGCAGGGGAGGGGGGTGGAGTATAACATTCAAAAAGAAGGTCCCACGGCAGGATCCTGGGTCCTGAGAGGTGACATTCTCTCATGAATGGGACCTGGAGGATGCTTCCCCTGCCTATCTAATGGGATGAGGAAAGACAGTCCCGTAAAAAAAAAAGCCCTAAAACATTTCCTGGACCTTTTATTTAACACAGTCAAGAGGAGCTTTTACAACAATGATTAATTCAAATTCTCTTGTCATGTTGCATATTCTTGCTAAATTAATATTTCTTCTGTTTTCTCCTCATACTGAATACATTTTTGCCTGCTTCAGAGTAATATTATTCATCCAATGAATAATGATTTTCATTTTTCCCCTGTCTTGCCCCTTCATATTTACTTTGATGCCAAGCCATCAAAAATAATTGCTACCTAATTTGGGGTCTTGTGGAGGGGGGAATTCCTTGTTGTCAATTTCATATGGCTGAAATATTCCACCTACTGGTATCTTATTTCTTGGGAATAACTTCCCCATTTGTTCATTTGACTCTTCTCTTTTCCATAGTACAGCCATGTTATGTTAGAGATAGAAAGAAATTAGGTGAAAGGGAAGCAAAATCTAGGCAGTGCAAATGATAGGCAAAGCAAAATACAGCTTCTCTTAGACAAGATAATGTGGTATAAAATGAATGCTGTGGCATATTTAACTTACTTGCTACATGCAGCCTGCTTGCTTTGGAGTTCAGTTATCACTTCCTACTTCTTCCCATAATATCAAGGACTGATTACCAAAACAGTCACCTTCTTTTTAAAAAGTTGAGTGCTGCTACACTCAGACACTTGTTAATAGCAGGAAAAGCTATGCAAAAAGAGTCCTATATACTGAACTGTAGTATTGTATTATACTTAACAAACCAATACAGTTCTGTCATTCCATGGGGTTTATTTATTTGAGGTATAAAATAATTTTTTAATTCCCCCCATCCCAATTCTGATGCGGTTTAAAACACACACACATACATATGTAATGGTTTCAGTTAGCAATCAGTTCACTAAACAACCAAATTGCTGGGCTCAATTGTAATTACTAAACAAGGACTATCTCTATTATGATTTTTTAAAGAATCCATAAACTCAATATTTAGTTTGAAGAGCAAGCAGCCAGAGCATGATGATCCTCCCTATTCACAGAGTAATTTCTGCAGAAAATTCATGCATACAGAAATCTAGAAATCTCTCTAGTTCAACATTGTGTCCTTACAGTGGCCAGATCCATGTGCATTGGAAATTCATAAGCAGAGCAAATGTATTCTCCCGTTCATGTATCCCAATAACTAATACATAGAATTACACTCCACAGGCAATTATCAACCCTCAAGAGTCAAGATTAACATCTACCACATTTTATTTGTACACTGCCAAGAGACCTACTCTGAGGGAGAGGGGAAGTCATGGGTTCCTATCGGTTCTGACATGTTCGGCCGAACCGGTAGTGGTTTGGTGGCCTGGATTGCTGGAACCGGCAATGACCTAGGCCTGCTATGTCCCCAAACCAGTTCTCCCAGTGATGCCGTCTTTTTTTTCTTCTGTGCATGCGCAGAGCAATTTTTATTGCTCTGCGCGTGTGCGTGCAGCACACATCAAGCGTGCATGCTTGTGTGGAACATCCACAAGTGAACCGGCAGAAGAGACTGCCAGAAGCTTCCCTGGAGAGGGTGATTTCTAAATAAAATATTTTTTTTCATGAAGACATTTCTTTCCTATGTTGCCCAGAGCTGTTGTGTAATGATCACTAGCTTTTGCTTTGGTGATAAATTTCCTGTTCTAATTACGTTTTATTTTATCTATACTGAATTCCCCACCATTCAGTTTCATTAAACTGCTTCCCCCCCCCCCAAAAAAACCAATAAGTTAAATTCAGGATGCTCTTAAAAATCTTATTTAGTGTCACTTGTAATTTCACATATCAGAAAGATTGCAGGAGGGTGAGACAAAAAGAAGAAATTTGTTAATGCCTGGAAAATATTTCTAAAGTCAGACATTTCAGCTTTGTGGTTTTGAACATTTTTGTGATCTTCTCAAAAGAGATGGAAAATGTAGGTCAGTAACCTTAACAGTAACAATACAAACTGTTCAATATCTGATTGTTCCAGATAAATGGAGAAAGTTGCTAGTTGTATGTATTCAGTATATCTACAAGGTTGAAGTTCTTACAAATGGCTCTACTGGAATTTTCACCATTCATTCAAGTCATACAATACAGTTTGCAAGTCTACTTACTTGAAAGCTACAGATAAAATGTTGTTTCACATATTCTAATTTAAAAAGAGTTGCATTTCCTCTCATTTTATATACTTGCCCTGTCAGTGTTCATGGGAGTGGTCTTGGTGGTTTCTAGGTTGCTAGGAAGAACAAAAAACAAAAGAAACAATGAAAAATTATAAGGAATTATATGGAAACAAAAAGACCAGCAAGGAGAAAAACACTGGCAAAATAAGCTACTGTATATAAACCAAAGCCCAAGCTCTTTTAAACTGATGATGTTATCTAGTTAGGTAATGAAACTTCTGGAAGAAAATAACCAAGGTCAGAGATCATGAAGGAATCCACAGTTCAACTCTGAGCTATAAATATTTTTTTCCCTCAGTACATACTTAGTAATTGGGATGTGTAGGCTTCAGGTCTTCTGAAGCCATTTCCCCCCAATTAACTGACACCTTAACATATCTGCTTGCTGCATGTTGCCTGGATCAGGAATTTAAGTGTACGGTGGTCATACAGTTAAATAAATGCAAAGGAAGAATTGGTAGTCAGAGCTTATGCAAAGATATCCTTGATTTGTATGTAGGTGACCAGTACCATACAATTTATCCCGAACATTTTGAAATATGGTATGAATTGTAAATATCTGAGAAAGAAGATAGGTAGACAAATTCTTAACTTGTCTATGTTTTCTAAGGCATTATATTTTCTTGTGTCAAGGTTTAAATAACATCAATTGCTTTCTATTTTATGGCCTGTAAAGATTTGTTTTCTTTACACTTAATAATTATCCTGTGAGACACAAGATACCACTTAGCATCTAAATCATATCAATTGTAGTATTGTAGAGTGCAATTCTGGACAAAAAAATTGACACCATAAAAATGATATCCATTATGGTGTCCATTTATTTCTTCTAGGTATACTTAAATATTAAATCTGTTCAATTTCTAAATGAAATAAGAACTTTAGTTAATTACTTTACATCCCACAGTTTTTTCAGTAAGCTCAAATCTATTTACTTTCAGATTGTTCTTTTAGAACAGAATATGTGTTATTAACTGCACCATCAAGATCATACATTCTTCAATAAAAATGTAGAAGAGTTTGATATTGATGAAATGAAATTCATATCTATTAAAACAGTGGTGGGCAACCAAGAATCTTAGGATAGATGCAGATTTCAAACTTCTAATTTTCACCTCCTAAGGCTTCCTTTGATTACTATTTTATAAAATTATGCCACAACTTCTCAACATTTCAAGCCTGTAAACATATATAAATTGTAATGTAACAGCTCAGATGAAGAGCTTAACAGATTTCTAAAAATTAATCCTAAAAAATCCCCCCCCCCATTCACCAGATTCCCCCCAAAACCACCTCATACCATGGTCCAACGTACCTCCTCATCCTCATTTGGAACTTTTAACTGAGAAAACTTGTAACTGTTTCCACCCCTGAACCAAAGTGTATATGCTCCTTATGCTACCATATTTTTTAAAAAAATAGAAGAGGGTTAAAGACCTAGATAGAGTGATAATAATTATACATTGAGGGATAAACAAAAAAACTACTGTATAAAAACAATATAAAAATGAAAATTCTGGGGACTGCTGAATTTTATGAAAACTGCTAGATTGAGGATGACTGAATTGTACTGTTATTAGCTTGGAAGCTAAGACAGGATGAACACATATGAATATTTAATTTAAAAATTAAATTGTGTGTATTTATTTAAATTGTAGCTTTGTATAATATAAACAAATGAAGTGATGCAAAGTTATAATGAGGGTCATCATCTAAATTTTGGTGAATAAGATTCTCCCCAAGTAAATCCCTTATGTACTTACGCAGAAGTGTGTATCTTCCATCATCAGCCAGAACATGTCCATTCCCCATAACAATCCTATATACCTTGCCCTCCAGCCATGAGAACCAT